CTGCAGGTGTACGGATCTCCATGAAATTTTTAATATTATCAATAATTACAGAGAGAGAGAGAGAGAGAATGACATCTAATGGCATTGCTTTTTATATAGAAAAAGTTTATATGTAGCTAAAAAATTAGAGCCCATCTAAAAAATTTCACTAAAGTTGTTTTGATATTCAAATATCTTCAAATTGATTATCTCGACATCAAGATGCATGGATATGAGAAGAAAAATAAATTTCAAGTTTTGGAAATAGTGCATCACATATTTTTGGACTCTCAATTTTCAAGATTTTCAAGTTTTTATAGATGTGCTCAATCTACACCTTTTTTTTTTGCTTTAAAGTTTATAATTAAAGATAAAAATATATTTTAAGGTTATCACAAAGATTTTCAGTATTAAAATCACATTTCTCAGTGCTATTTAAAGGTGCACTTTACTTTGATTGTTTAGATCCTCAGCTCTATACACCTTGTACCCGATTTTTAATATTATCAATAATTACTATGGAGAAGGACATCTGCAACATTTACTTTCCCAAACAAAAAAAATTGACATCGGTGGCATTGTTTTATTTACTTGCGATAGAGAGAGAGAAAAGGCAACACATGTGACATGCTTCAAGAGACGAGGAAAAAAAAAGATAAGAATTTCTTATGAGATCCGCACCTTTTTTTCATAAAAAGGGTTTCTCTATGCACTTAGAGCCTCCCTCTCAACTCTCTGAGTTTTCAGTCTCTAGAACTCTAATATAAAAGAACCTATATTGCTGATTCAATAACTTTCAAGCTTTTCATCAAAGACTTAGAATTTGTATTGTGTATTGTAGTTCTAGTTCTCATAATTAAAAGTCGGCTTGAAGTTATGGGTATTGAACTCTCGACCCAAAGTAGCTATGCATGCAAAAAAAAGTAAGAAAAGATGAAGATCATAGAAACCACAAGAGAGAAATTGGATTAAAGAAAGAAATATAATATCTATCCGAACATTATTTTTTTAGAAAAATATATAATGAAACTATTTACCTTTCGTACAAGGTGTTCACAATAAATTTTAACCATTAGATATGAAATTGAGGGGCTGTATTTATTTCATTGACCAAGCTCAAAGTTTAAAAGAATTTTTCTCGAACTATACGCAAGCTATTAGATTTCACAACGGATGGTTGTAAATAATTGTGACCCCCCTATTCGAGAAGTAAAAGTTCTTCTTATATACAATTCCTATGTTTTTTATGTTTCCACTATTTTGGGATTTGTGCTGTAAATGCAACAATTTTTTATAGTCTTGTTTGGAGCAAAGTATCGTTTAAAGTTTAGCTTTAAACGAAAAAAAGTAGAAAAACAACTATTAGCATTTGTTTTCAAGCAACTATTACTAATTTATATTTATTCTTCTTCTCTATCGTCCTTCTCACCTCCATTGTGGAAATCTTGAGCACTAAGGCATCCTACCAAAACCAAAAGGACACCGACAACCTCACTCCACGTCCTACATATGCATCGACTCCCAACCCAATGCTCTCTCTCCTCTTTCTTTCTCTATCTAACCTTCTCACGTAGGGTGGCAATGGATTTAGGATCCGTGGGGTACACTCTACACGAGTCCGAGTATGGGTCCAGAATTTAAACCCAGTGGGTTGAGTCTGGGTCTAAAATTTAGACTCGAATACCATTCGGGTCCAGATTCAGGTCCAGCTGGACTGGACCTGTACCTGTTAGAGATAAAATACTTTACTTTAAGATCTATTTGTTTTGGCATATAATAAGAATTCGTAGTTATCTTTAGCTATTAAACAACAAATCGACGCCTTGAAATCTAATGGCGGGGTGTAACTTTGTGCCAATAATATTGGTATATGCAGATAAAAAGAAAAAACTCATAATGAAAGTGGTAATGGACCCGACTAAACACAAATTCTGATGGGGTAGACTTATAACCCAACAGGCACAAATATGGGTCTAAGTCCATGTTCAGCCGGACCCAACCCATATCCGACCCGTGCAACCCCTGATCTCACATTCATATAGTCCCAAACCAATGCTCTCTCTCTCTAACCTCTCTCTCTAACCTTAGACCGCGTCGCCGTACTTTATATCAAGCGCCGCTTGCCTGGAATGTAGAAAGTATCACATGGCCCCATGAGAAATTGAACTCTCTCCCCCTAAATATCTTCTATTATAACGTCCCTTTTTCACTTTCTTATGTGGAATTATTATTGAAGTTTATGAATGAAGAAGGGTCCTACGTAGAATTATTATTAAAATTTATGAATGGAGAGGGGATATCGTCACCCAATTACTCTAAGCCAAGGCTCCCAATTATCCAATTTCAATTTTCAGGTGAACATTTCTCTCTCTCTCTCTTTCACACACGAGACGAGATGTTGACAAACCCTTTTATGGATTTATTGGGGAAATTACATGCGTAACACTCAATTCACCATTAATTCCTACTATACCCCTAGAATCTGATTCTATGCCCTTTATTGAAAAAAGTAAAATTGTCTTGAATCTCACTAAAAAAAATTGCGGTTCGAGTGTCGAAACTTTAAAATTGATTATCTTGACCCTGTAGATTATGGATGTGAGAAAAAATAATACATATTATAATAAATTATTTTATCATCGTCATCGTATTTATAGTATTTTTTAAATTAATTAGGGTCGACTACACAGATCTTGATCATTCATTTTACTCTATTAAATGCAGTGAAGCTATAACTCTTTATATTATTTTGAACTACTTCGAACCACATCTTTTGGGCCTTACTTTTTTCTATTTTTAATTCTTCCATTGGAACTATTTCGCATCTCTTAACATGTGTATTAGGTTGGTGCCACACATGGCCAACTTACTTAAGTTTATTTTATTTCATCTTATCATTTATTGGTGCCACACCTAGATTTTTTCAAATGGATTCATTTAAAATTCTATCCCTTGTTGTCTTGCCACACATCCATCTTAATATTTTCATCTCTTTTACACTCATTTTATAGGTATATTATTTTTTATCCGTCCAACATTCCGCTTCATAGAGCAAAACTGGTCTCATAGTTATCTTATTATAGAACTTGTCATTTAGCTTTGTTGGTATTCGGTGATCACAATAAATTCCAGTTGCACATCACCACTTTGTCTACCCAATTCTAATTTTGTGTCTAACATCTTCTTCAATATTTCAATTTTCATGGACTTATAAAAAATTATTTAGACTAACTATTTTCAAGTGTTTACAAATCCTGGAGATTTGTCACTTTTTTGAGTTACAAGTTTTATGAGATTAAAAGTAAAAATAGATTTTAGAGATTTTGCGGACGTGTTTTTTTATACGAGATTCAAGTGTGAGGATTTACTCTCAGTTTTTTTTTTTCAATAAGGCCTAGTGTTTATAGAAACTCCACAAAGTTTCGAGTTATGATATAAGGGTAGAGTATTAATATTTGAATGGAGAATGGGCAATTATTCTATGAATAAATCTGGGCCATGTGCGGCTCCATCGAAACATAATTGCCGGGATTTCCAGACGGGGATGTTTGAATGTCATGGCCCACACCCAAAGCCACCAAAATTTGAAATTAGAAAGACAAAATGTGACCAAGGGTACATCACTCTTTGTCCTTGATGACAAAAACGTCCAGAAATATTAACTGCCCAATAAACCCTTGCCCTCGATTGTGAATGAAGCGGTGTTCTAAAAAAGTATGTGCAGAGACTATTTATTTTTAATACCAAAATATCACAATCGTTTTTATTTATCCTATTTCAAATTGGATGATTGTAAGATTTGACGCTTGAAATTCTTTTATTGAACTTTATGACACAACCCCAGTATTTTATTTTGGTATCTAATAACTACTACCAATTGTGACATCTTTGTAATAAAAATAAATAGTATCATAACTATACAAACTTATTTTTAATTTTTCTCTTCACATTATGGGGCTATAAATATATGAATGATTCTTTCTTTTTAGATAGTCGAGGTGTAAGAACATGAGATGTGGCATTGTTAAACATCAACCGCTAGTCACTTGAGCTCAATCCTAATTCCTCTATGAATGGATCTTGAGTCGATGGATCTTAAGGACGAGAGTAGATAGAAGATTAGCATTATGCAAAATCCATACTTTTAAGTCTTTTTTTAAAGGCAAAATTTACAAAAAAATGTACCTAATTTTTAACAATTTACAACTATTCCAACTCATGCATAAGTATTTTGACGGATATTTTGAAATTCCATAAAAAATGTATAGGTCAACTATTAATCAGTTGATCTCTTATGTATATTTATCAAAATTTCCCTCACAAAAATATGTAGGAAAACCTAGCAAGATGATAATAATATGTCAAGATACTTGTTAACCCCAAAAAAAAAGTATAAACGTGGCAACATGATCCCATTCCGGAGCCAATGACAATGCATTTACTTGGTGTGTGAAAATATTTTTGTGAAAGTATTTTCACATTTAAAAACTCACTCATATGAGTAGGTGTCGGAGTTTTTTCATACCAATTGACTGTCACTCGATTTGAAAAAAAAATAGGCCGAGATCAATTGCCGTGAAAAAATTTCAAGACTGAGTCATTTCGTATGAAAGTATTCTCACAAAAATATTTTGACACTTACCGGGGTATTTTAAGAAAGATGAATAGGACTCGTTTGGCATATAACAGATATGCCCAGGGTAATTTATGTAACATTAAAGGAAGTGTGAGCGTCCCACTAAAGGGCTGGCCGTTAATCCGAGAACCCACCTCTTGCCACGTCAGCTTCCCGTTTGGCCGATTCGACGGAACCCCGACGTGCCGTGCCTTGCGGGTAGAGAGAGAAAGAGGAAGACAACCATATTTTGACTGTGTAGAGAGAGAAAGAGAGAGAGCACATTTTAAGGTATAGAATGAATCAGAGATTAATATTAGATAATGGAAAGGTGATTCCCTGCTGTTATTTAGTAAGTTCAAGCGATATGAATTTCCCTTTTTCTTTCCATTTCTTTACCTATTTTTTTGAAATAAAAGGGGAGGCGAACAGAGAGGAGAGAGAGAGAAGAGAGAGAGAAGAGAGAGAACAGTGTAGTAGCAGAGGGTTTGAGGGAGAAGGCAGCCAGGCATTATCCCTTGGGATCTGCAAATTCTCTCATAAAAATTTTATATTTCTCGTGGTAGTCTCCTGACTGGTTTGTTCATTTTGGTCCATTTTAGTATGAATTTAAATATGTCCAGTGGTTTATTTTCCTCAGTAGCTATGGAGTGCAAGGGGAAGTTGTAATGCTGCTGGGTTAGTGAGAGAAAGTGGGTTCTGATTTGGGGTGTATTGGCTTTGTAGAGATTTGTAGTTTGGAACATGGGTTTCAGTTAGAGATGCAGTTGTAAAACCTTTTGCATTGAAGTTTAGTGCAAGAAATTTTGTCTCTTTTTTTTGTGGAACGGTTTTGTTTTTCTTTGATTTTGGGGCTTTGAATGCTGATATGGGGGTTTTGATCCAGGCAAGAGTGAGAAACAGTGGGGCTTGAAGATGTATACAGAGGGCCGCAATGGCCTTAAATGGGCCAGTGAGGTAATAAAACCAGTATTTGCTTTGTTTTTTTCTTGTTTATTTGTTTGTTTATTTCTGAGATAACTACAATGGTAGATTGGTCCTCTACTTTCATGGTTTCAATCTGATGTTCTAGTTTATTATGTAACTTCTCTTAAATTTCCCATAAATTTCATAAAAAATTACTTTGGGAATTGGGTGTGATGGGGGAAGATTAATGTTTTCATCAAAAGTCCCATTTTTTAATTTTTTTTGATAATGTCATCAAAAGTCCCATTTTTTAACAGAGTCCTGGCTATAAACTCAAACTTTTGATACTATATTGACATTTATTAACCAGGGCTCGGTGCACGATCCAATCCTCAACATGCGAAATGGTGTTAGGAACTTTGGGCTCCCTCCCTCCAAGCTCAGGAGTGCATATATGTCTGCTCCCCAAGTAATGCCTGGGGATGAAAGTGGCTTTGGTACTGAGTCGCAATATTCAACTGATTCTGAGGAATACATTTATGGGGGAAGATACTCCCTCGATTCATCTCCACAAGAGGAGATTAGGGTTTTTAATCGTAAGCCTTCTAATGGAAGTGCTCAAAGATACAATACTCCAGTTTCTATGCAACAACAGTATTCAAGTGATCGCCTTTATTCAGATTATAGTTCATCAAGGGAAACTTTGATGCCTAACTCAAGTGGCACTGTGCAAAATGGACCGGTCTTTGTCTCAGAGAAACCGGGATTGAGGGGAGTACGATATCCCAATGGCGAGTGCGCTGACTATGTAGAGGATGAGTCATCAGATTCGGCAGGGAGCTCTGAGGTTACGCAAAGGGAGAGCAAACATTTTCCCCATGGAAGAAGAGATGAAGGCTTCATTTCTGAAGAGGTCTGTCTCTCTCTCCCTCTGTGGCTTTTTTTTTTTTGTGTGATTTGAAGTTCCCCTGTTATTTTTTTTTTCACCCTTTTGTATCTTTCTATAGGTGAATATTTTTATTCTTATATATGAGTATTTACAAGTTTCCTATCTATCAGCATATACCATGTGCTGAACTTGTCTTTCTTTTGGACTATGGTAAATCATGTCACAGAAAAGTGCTGGACCAATTTTAGTTTTGAAAATTGAATTCTGTTTTTGAATATTGAAGCCTTCATAAGCAGTTTTCAGTGGACTCCATGGTACAAAACTGCAAGAAATTGCATTCAAGGAGGTTTATTGTGATTGCCAAAAAGCTATAGTTTTAATAGTTTCTACCAAGTTAGGATTATTCTGGAGAAGTTTAGACATGATTAGACTTTTAATCATAGTTAGAGATATTTTTGTTAATTTTGAAACTTGGAGGGAATATGATTTTTCTGACAAGGAAAATCATGGGAAGAATCATGTATTGTATTAAGTCTTACTTATCAACATTATAAAAAAGGAACAAATGAATGAAGTAATTAGTTTATCTAATTACAGCGAAATATGATATTGTTGATGATGATCATCATCATCATCCGAGCTTTATTCCAACTATTTGGGATCTGTTACATGAATCATGTTCTTCCATTCCGCTCTATCGAGGGCCATACCCTCAATCAGATCATATGGCACAATATATTTTCTAACTACTTCCATCCATGTCCTTTAAGGCCTGTCCCTTGCCCTTTTAGAGTCCAGTTAAACCAAATCACCCATCCTAACTGTTGCCGCATCCCTATCATGAATCCTGATCCTACAGTGAAACATGATAAGCAAGTAATTATGTAATAGATCATGACTGCATTAGATAAACAAGATCACTGCATTATACAGGAAGTCTTGGTTTTCAAGTATTGGAATCAAGCGATATTTAGTTGCCTAAATCTTATTCTAGACAAAATGTTGGTGCATATTGATGTACTCTATACTTAATTTTTTCTTCTTTTCTGTTTTGATATGTTGTTCTTTGCAGTTGCACCAATCATTTGACTCTTCAGAATGTGCATGTCTCATAGATCAAGTTATTCTAGTTATGAAAATAGTTCTCTGAAAGATTTTAAATTCATCATTGTTCAATTAGTTCTTTACTTTTTGAAGTTGGGCTCGGTTTTATTCCGGACCCCATTTTGAAAAAGAAAAGAAATAAGCAGCCTTGTTAATTCTGTGTTGCACTCACCAATCACTACCGATTGCTAATGTTATATTGGGGAATTTGGTTGTGAGATTAAAAACACATCTCGGTCTTGTTGTCTTCACCACACACATGATGTTCAAACTTTTAGTCACATATTAAGTGATAGGTTTCGTGCCTGCTCTTAAACTGCATATTCTCATGGCCTTTGTATTGTTCAATGTTCAAAGACTCACCTGAGTCGCCTTAGGATTGGGCGATGCACTCGGTCTCAGCAGCCTACCAAGGCTGGTACAAGGTGCCCCTGGGTATCCTGTACAGTATTCAGGCGAGTATTGTACCCGAGTTTGTATGGTATTCAGATGAGTCAGTACAATACTTGCCTGAGTACTGTACACTGTTAGTATAAAACAAGGGGAGGCGCAAATCTGCCCTTGTCTATTATTTCCTATTTGTTTTTTAGCCTTGGAGTCCCTCATTTTTCCCCAGATTCGTGCCTTAACTAGACTTTTGCTTGTTCTATGCATTAGAAGCATGGGATTTCAGACAAAAACTCCGATTTCAGAGATTTTTGAGTTCTAGAGTTTCTGGCAAGGCTTTGTCTGAATGTGAAAAGTTTGCAATTTCTTCGCATATTTGAGTCGACCCTTGAAGAGTTCTGAATCCCAAGCCTATTTTATGTCATTGATCCAACCATAGGCTCTTTTTCCTCAATAAAACACAAAAATATTAGATTTTGACAGGTCTAAAATTCTGATGTATTATTTATCTGAATTTTCAAGAGCTCGGACTGGCAAAACCTGAAAGGTTTTCATTTCGGTGATATACGGAATACTTCATAAGGATTGGAGGCATGATTTGCACTGGGCTCAAAGATTGGGAAATCAGCCTCAAAATTTTGTATAATTTTCATTGTTCAATCTAAATTCCTATATTTGATATTTTACTAAATTCAATTATAGAATATCATTAATTAGTTCTGTACATAATATAAACTTCTTATTTTTTATTTTTTTCTATTTTCCCATATTTATTTTTGGATTTTTTTTGTTTGTTTTTTAAAGTCCTAATAACATTCCATGTTTTTCATATTTCATGGTTATATATAGTCGTGGGAGGTCAAGGCACACAG